GCATCATAAAGAGGAAGGTGCGACAAAGAAGGCCCAAGACGATTGAACAGTTAGAGGCCTGTATTAGACATGAATGGGAGAGCATTCCTATTTCTAAACTTGAGAAACTGGTCTCCTCTGTCCCCAGACGTCTGTTGAGTTTTGTAAGAAGAAGGGGGGATGCCACACAGTGGTAAAAATGGACTTGTCCCAACTTTTTTGGGATTTGTTGATGCCATGAAATTTGGAAACAACAGATTTTTCCCTTAAAATGATACATTCTCTCAGTTTAAACTTTTGATCTGTGATTTGTGTTCTATTCTGAATAAAATATTAGATGTTGGCACCTCCACATCATTGCATTCAGTTTTTATTCACAATTTGTTTAGTGTCCCAACTTTTTTGGAATCCGGTTTGTAGATCATGATCTAAGATTTAATAGAGAGCCAGGAGTCTACAACCTGCGGCTCTGGAGCCATATACATCTTTGGTCGCTCCGCAGCCGCTCTTTCAAGCTTAGACCAAAACTAACATAAAACTGAATTGTACAGGATGTTATACCAACAACAACAGTTTTCCTGTCATTTTCTTTGCAAATATGTGGATACTAGTACTAATACACAGAGTAAATTATACTCCCTTTAACTTTATTTATTCAAAGTAGGATACCCAATTTCTCCACCATAAAAATAAACACATAAGCCTGCACAGTTCATTGATTTAGTTTTTAAAAAATTGACAAATATATATATATATATATATTTATTTTATTTTTTTTTACAAGAATTATTCTTCTGTGATAGACTTGCAACCTGGATATGGGCAACAGTGACCCCCTGCAACTCGAAAAAGAAAAAGCAAGTAAAGATAATGGATGGGATCCAGTCTTTACTTTAGTCACAATGTAAAGATATCAATACAATTTTAACAATCATTGGATGTTTTTAGTTTTATAATTTCACGCCTACTGGCCAGAAAAAACCCCTTTAACAAACTTAAAGAGGCCCATGGGCCGCCAGTTGATCATGACAATTGTAGCAGGTTTTGTGGCTCTGGACACGTTTAATTTAGTGACCGAAGGGGCAGATGTGGCTCTTTTAATCCTAAAGGTTGCAGACCCCTGCCCTAAACAGTAGTCATGGACCTTTTTAGACACCTATGTGCATGCACAGTCTGGCTCCGCTTACCCAAAAACATTTATAGCTACTCCGTTAGCTATGGTAGAACATATATTAATACCACCGTGAACTCAAAGATGAAATATCAAACTTTAAAAAAGGTAGTAATAATCTTTTTGTTGGATAAGGAAGTCATAAGTCAGTGAAAGGAACACATTTACACGACAAAGAAAAATCAGTTAGATGCTGAAGAATTGGAAGTAGGCAGGAAAAGGTCTAGACCACAACGCATCACATAATACTGAGCGTTAGTTTCTGTAAAATGATCAATGGTGCTGCCACAGAGTGAACTCTAATCAAGGCCTCAGAAACCTTCTGGAGACGAGCAACGTTGTTTATGATTGAAACACTGTTGTTTGTTTGTGAGAACAATAAGTGTAATTCCCATCGGGATTAATTCTGTTAGGGAGATTATTGTAGAAATAATTTCCAACAGGAGAAAGATTCTGTTGGAGGAAAAAAATCACATTGGTGTTCCCAGGAAGCATCAACAGTATGGAAATGTTGAATAAAGTAAAACATTTCATGCGTTATCAAATATTGCCTTTTGAAAAAACTAATTTAACTGGAACAGTCAGGACAGTGGTGACGCCTCGTGTTTACCATCTGTCACAACTTTGTCTTCCAATTAAAGTTTAGAACCAAAATAAGTTGTTTTTGTCAATGAACTGATCTGTAGTTTCTATTAGTGGTAAACATCAAGCCTTTGCCATGACACAATTGGAGTCTAACCCGTTCTAAAAGCAGGTTTGAGATCATTCCTCCACTTGAATCCTCAAGTGGAAATCAGAGCAGACTGACTTGGCCACAAGGAGGCAACATTACTTAGAGCCTCTCAAAAGCTTCAAGGTATTAAAGCATGTGTGTCAAACTGAAGGCCTGGGGGCCAAATGTGGCCCTCGTTGACATCCTATCCAGCCCCCAAGATGATATGTGAAGCATAAAATACTTCTATCTCTTGAATTGTTTCAGTAATCTTTGATTATGATGTCGAAAGCACAACAGAGATCATCATATGAGACCAATCAAACTCTTGTTTAGGAACCTGTGACCAAGAAAAGATGTCGGTATCTGATTTGAGTTAATGTAGTTTCTGAAATTGGCCCTTGGTTTGAAAAAGGGTTTAATTTTGGCCCCCTTTTGTAAGTGAGTTTGACACCCCTGTATTAAAGAGAAACTGATCAGCTATAAATAGAAATATTTTTAAAGTCTGTCTTTAAATACATCAATAAAACAAACAAGACCACACAATACCATTGTAAGAGTTTTGACCACTTTTGTTCATCAGATGAAACGACGCTTTTAGTTTGTTTTCAATCATTGCAAATAAGTGGAAAGACAAAACTACCCAATGGTTTCTATAACTAGGTGTATTTAAATCGTTGTAAATTGCGTTTTTAAATCCAACTAAAGTTTTCTTCTTTCCAACACTAACAAAAGTTACGGGAGCAGCCATTGGTCTGAGGGTTTGAATGACAGACCGTCAGCCCGGCAATGAAGAGGCCATACGGTCCCAACATTCTGTCAAATGCTGACCTTTCACTTCCTGACACAGCAGTTGTATTTGATGCAGCCACGTGCCCCTGCTGACCTCACACATGTAAAGGTGTACACAGCAGTGGCATTGTACTTGTTCAAAAAGTACTTGACACCAGCATGAAATAAAAAGATGTGTTTTACACATTTTATTGTGTGAACAAAAAACAGACAGACCCCTATATGACACAAGGTTTTTATTTTATTTCAAAATATTCTCCTAACAAGATGAAACTCAAAAAGGGTCCAAAGCCAATAGAGCCATCTAGAACAGAAGCACCACTCGTTATTGCTATGTCACTCTGCTGCAGGACAAGGCGTTCAGAGAGGGGGGGGGGAATCAAACAGACACACAAACAATTGCACAAAGAGACAAAAGGAGCTTTGTGGGAAAACAGTGGTGATTTTAAAACTTAGGAGTCTTTAAAAAGCTGCACATGTTCCTCATGGCGTTTGCGGAGCTGGGCTCTGCATGGTTGATACATGCTCGCCTTCGGATGTGGGGGGAGGGGGGGACGACGAGCATCTTCTCATTAATGGCACAACGCCAATAACGATCATCCATCGTTTGTGAAGTGATTACAGGTAAAAGCAGAGCTGGTTTAAAGAGCATAACAGTCACATTTATGGCTCCTTGCAGGATTTAACAAAAGAACATGTGCAGCTGTCTGCTAAAACCACCTCATTGTACCTTTTGGTTCTACTGTGATCTAAAAACAGTGACGGGAGGAGAGTCCAGCCAAACTCAAAGCTTACAGGAAATAATGTGGTGTGGAGTGGAGCTGCTGGTTGTTGGTCTCTAATATCTATCTAGTCTAAAAATATGAGCATGGTACAAAAATCATCAGTAATAAAAAAAAAATTAACGTTTTGCTGCCATGAAGTCGGAGGGGGGTGAGAACGTCAGTGTCTCTACGCCTTCTCGTCAGTCGCCTCCTCTGCTGCGTCAGTTGCCTGCAGTGATAAAATGGACTACTTCAGACAAAGACATGGGTTTCATCATCGTTCAGTGGTGGCTCATTTATGTACAAACTACACAAACCAAACTCAAGATAGAAGTTCAAAAGAAACTAAGCGCATGTGTGAGGAGCAACTGCTTCAGAAGTCCACAGCAAACTGTTGGGATAGTTTCCAGAACATTTCCTGCTCATTTGAAAAAACTCCATTGTACAATTGTCCCTCGTTTATTGAAGCCCCGCAATAAGTGGAAAATCGCAAAGTAGGAACAGTAGTACAAATAGTATTTTATTTTTATCTAAATATTCTTATTTAAAAAAAGTGTTTTAAACCCTTCCCACACTTGTGCAATATTCTAAACAATGTTTCTAAACTCTAAACGCTCTAAAAGAGCACAGCGTGTCACGATTGCAGCTCCCTGCCTCCTCTGCTAATTGCCACCTGCAAGCGCTCTTGGCCACGCCCACTTCTCCACTCCGCACAGAGAACAGCTGATAAGCTGCTGTAAGGGCTGCACAAAAGGTGCAGCAGGTGCTAAATAATTTTAAATAGTTTATTTTAAATAAAAATTCCATGCCGATCGTGCGGCTCATCCATCAATCAGCCAATTGTGTCAGGTCCAATCTTATATTGGAAAACCTCGACAGAGCAAGTCTGCGAAAAACAAACCGCCAAGTACCGAGGGAGTACTGTACTGCATTTTTGAGCAGAATTGCAAACCAAATCTATGACCTTTGACCCCAAAATCGCCCTCTTTTTTGTGTGTTTAGCTTTACGCTTATGCCTCGTTTCCTGTTTTTGGTGTATTTTCTCAGCAGTGTTAAAGCACCACACACAAGTCTGCCTAAGTGACAGCAACGGATGCATTTTATTAAACAAAAAACAAAACGTCTTTCAGAACACTGTACTGTACGACGAGTCATTTTCAGAGGTTCTACGTTTATGACGAGGTCCAGAAATAATGGTCCGTTTACGAGAACATTTTTAGAAAGAAGAAATAAAAGCATTGTGTTTCCGTGTGGACAAGACCAAAACAGCCATGTTAGATGAGATTTGTCTACTGAAATTCTCAAGCAGCATAAGACAAGACAAGTATTCACCTGCCAATACTACAGTTTGTGGCTGTGGCTCGACAACATGAGTCAAGACTGCACACAAAAATTACATTACCCAAATAACAGCCGAGTCAAAATGAAACCACAATTAGAAGCAGTTTATGGTGGTACTTTGTTTGAATTTTGACTCCGATATGTTACCAAAGTAGTTTGACAAGCAGACAAGCGCTGATTGATAAGATTTGTTTTCAGAGCCCCTAAATGTTTCTGCAACAGAACAAGATCTGCAGACATGACATAACAGACATAACCTTGTTCTGTGAATAATCTATAGACACTAATTAGAGATAGTTGTTTTAGTAAATCACGCATTATATGAGAAACTATTACGACTGTATTACCTGTTGCTTTGTCTTCACATAAAGTAAATTAACTTTCTAGTACTGTTGCAAAGCTTATTATAAAAGCAAGATGAATATTCCTCAACTTAAAGTTAATGGCAAGGAGAGTTTATTTGTATAGCATATTTCAGCAACGTAATTCCAAGTGCTTTACGTGATGAAACCATCAAAAGTACATTGCAGTGGCATAATAAAAAGGAAAGTAATGTTGCAGTATAGACTGAAGTTAATGATAAGTTAATATTTCATCTAGGGGTGCACCGATAAATCGGTCGTCTGATTTATTGGCCCCGATTTCCTTAATTTTGGGAAATCGGTCAATACTTGCATGAGAAACCGACTTTACTGATTTTCTGTTTGTTTGTTTTAACAACAATTGTCTAAACTTCATTTATATTTCAGAGCACTACCTCGTGGCCAGTTAAAAGTTTGTTTTGTTTCTAGGATATTGTTCAAGGGTATGTTTTTCAATAAAATAATATTGGAAAATTGAAGGTACATTGTGACCTTATAACACCTGACAGTGTTGATTATAAAACTAAATCGGTACCGGACAAAATCTGAATCGGCATCCTTGTAGTTTTCTGGAAGTTTGTTTTCGATTCATGGAGCATAAAAACTGAATGCTGCCTGTCCATGCCTCGTTTTGATTATGGGGACGCGGAGTAAGGTGGCTCAGTTGGTAAAGCTGCTGCCTCTCAGCGAGAAGGTTGCTGATTCAAATCCCAGCTGGGGCCTTTCTGGGGGGAGTTTGCATGTTCTCTCCGTGCTGTGTGGGTTTTCTCCAGGTACTCCGGTTTCCTCCCACAGACCAAAAACATGCATGTTAGGCTGATTGGTAACTCTAAATTGTCCCTAGGTGTGAGTGAGAGAGTGAATGTTTGTTTGTCTCGTTTGTCTCTATGTGTCCCTGTGATGGACTTGCGACCTGTCCAGGGTGTACCCCGCCCCTCGCACAGTGATTGCTGGACATGGGCACCAGCGACCCCCGTGACCCAAAATGGAATAAGCGGGTAAAGATAATGGATGGATGGAATGCAGAGTAGGCTTGGACCAGAAGACTCGAGTGGTCTAAAATGTTGATACAACAACAAATCTTTAATGTATTTTGGTGCTAAGCCATTTAGTGATTTGAAAACTAACAAGTATTTTGAAGTCCATTTTATTCTATACATGGAGCCAGTGTAAAGACTTAAGAACTGGGGTGATGTGCTCTACTTTCTTAGTTTTAGTGAGGATGCAGGCAGCAGCGTTCTTTGTCAGCTGTAGCTGCCTGATGAGACTTTTTTTAATGGGAAGGTTTATCAGAGCAAAACTACAAGAAACGAGACGTTTTGTGTAAAGATGAACGATATTGGATTTTTGGCCAGTATCCGATATGCCGATATGTTAAAACTTATTTGGCCTGTAACCGATACCAATAACGATATTTTCCCCCTAGACCTGCTTACAGAGACTACACAGCTTTCTCTGCTGAGGAATTAAAATACTACATTATTCTGCATGGTCTTTGTCAGTTTGACCTGTTACCAAATGCAGATGTCAAAAAAGTAGCTGAAAATGATGCAACACTTCAACTTGAATTATGTTTAATGTCAAATTTATTCATGACATTTACTCTAACACAATGACAACACTCGAACAGTGCAAATTTGTAAATTTTCACAAATCTAAACTTAACCTGTTCAGTGAAAAGTGCATATGTAGTAGTGCATTAATAGATATACTTGACAGTTTTTTAAATTAAGAATTAACTTAAAACAGAAGCCCAATACGTGGTTATACAATCTTAATGATCAACTCAAATCTACTCGTCACTGGGTTGTCATACAAAAACAGCGCCTTTATATCGGTGGGTTATTTTGATGGAATGGCCGATGTTTAACTTTATTGCTAATATCAGCCAATACCGATATCATGCCGATAATATTGTGCATCCCTAGTTTTGTGTACTGTTAGCCTGTTATGGCAAAGGTGTTACTGTTGACACTCAGCTAATCCTTTGAGCACCGAGAAAGAAATGTGTCGTTTTTCTTTTCGGCTGCTCACTTCTGCAGGGGTCGCCACAGCGGAGCAAACATGCAAGAAATATTTGGCCATTTTTTTTTTTGTCTGTTTCTGAGACCACCTGGGCTCAAACCTGCCACCTCAGGATTACCAGACCGCTGCACGGACCATTGAGCAACTGTAGCCCCAAGAAAAAACTATATGCAGAAGAAAAAACTAAAATCTACTTCCAGCATGAATAGAAACCTTTTTTTCCCAAGTGACCAAAAATGAATGCTTGTGAAACTTCACTACAATAACACAAAACAGATTTTAATCAACTTCGTGATCAAATCAAGAAACAAACACTTAACAGATGAACCTAAAAGTTCAAATCTTTCCAAATGGGGTTCTGTCGAGGGATTATGGACAATTAGTATCTTTTGTAGATTTGGGGGGGAAGTGGTGATGCAGAAATTAGAGAAGGCAAGCCTGTGATCAGCAAGTTTCCAGTTTGATCCCCTGGACCGACAACATCACCCACACCTGCCCCCACCCGGGCCCCTGAGCAAGGCCCTCAACCCCCACCATCTGCTCCCCCGGGTGTCCTAGATGGCAGCTCTCTGCTCCACACAGAGGGCTGTGGTAGCTCAGTGGTTGCATCATGAAGGGCATCCAGCATAAAACAATTGCCAAGTCTTCGTGCGAGTTAGTTCGCTGCGGTGAAACCCGAGGAAGGGAGCAGCCGGAAAAAATTTAAACATTTTATGGACAGCTCTTTGAACGACCACAATTAGGTCAAAATGGAGTTTCATTCCGATTGGATCAATGAGCCAATGGCTAGTCACAGTGGGGTTTAGATCAAGATCCTGTTTATAACCTTTCAACAGAATCACAAACAGGCTAAAACATTATAGCCAACCGTTTGGGGGTGTCAATAAAAACAATGAGTCGCAGTCACCAGACAGTCTGGCTAAACATCTGCCAATTCTGTCATATCCTGAGCAGTCAGTGGATGTCCGCTGCTCATGTTTACCTAATTGATTAAGTTTCCTTCATTTCAGCAATAAAAATATCAACAACAAGAAAACCAATTACTGGGATCTGATACTTCACAAAAAGAAACGCCTTTCATCCATTGCCAGCCTGTTTGTTGGTGGAGGCAGCTGTCCATAAACAGTCTGACCCAATCAAATGTCTCTCCGCTGCTCTGAGCAAATACCACCTGCCGTTTGACTCACTGCAGCTGCAACCCTCTCTGATACTCTTATAAATACATAAAAGAAACACAGCACTCCACAGCACACAGGGTGAATAGTAGCTCCATGAACAGCAAAATTGTTAGCGTCAAACACACACAAACAGACCAGATATTAGACCGTACCCTTCACTCGGACTGTCTCACTCTGGCCCCTGACTGACATCAAGGAGGGGGCCATGCTTCGGATGGAGGACACACTGACACATGGACGGGACACAAAGATCTGGGTGTGTGTGAGAGTGTGTGCGCGTGAAGATGTGCAGCACATTGTAAGAAGTAGATATGATTGTGTGAATTATGGAGGATTGTAGGTGTTTGTACACAAATTGACAGGAAAAGGGTGAAATTGCATCATTATTTCCCAATGCCAGTTTGTAAGTAAAAACAGTTTTGATTATTTTTTTAATGATCTTTTCATACCTCATTGGTCTTAGTCTCTCCGTTCTGGGCGGGACCGTCTTCCTTCTTGCCCTTGGCGCCACCTTTCTTTGCCTTTGCCCCCTTTTCATCTGCAACCTTCTGACAGGAAACAAGTGAACGTACACTGGATGTAAGCTCACAGACAACACGCATCATTTAATGTGTTATCTTTAGAGTATACGGGTTGACACATTTATTTCTACTTTCCAAAAAAATAAAAATAAATCAAGCAAAACAATTACAAGCAAGAGAGCAGACTCTTCAAAGTTCAAGTTGATACTAACAACTTGTGTGAGTACTCGTGTGTTACCTTGACGACAGCCTTCTTGGGTTTGGCCTCAGGTTTGGGAGGAGCAGGTTTCTGCAAATTACAAAAAAAAACAAAAAACTGAATAACCGTTCTCAGATTTAGTTTTTCCGTGCAGTTGTACATCTTCTCCACAGATTCAGAGCCCTATTGTGTTTGAAAAGTTATTGCCCCGGTCACATGAGATGTTTAATAAAATCATGAGAGTGAGGTCATGGAGGAGTGCACGGCTAAAACAAAAACTTCAAATCCAAAGCAAGTGGCTCTAAGAATGATCACACGTTAAGTGGCTGTAAATATCTGCACTCTCTAAAGGTGAGCTGATCTTAATTATGGTTTAGATGGAAGTAAAAATCTAAGCTACTCAAATTCAGCAAGGCTTCTGCAGATATATTTTAGCTACTGAAAGCAGACTCCGTTTACCCTGAAGCCATGAGCTTCAGAAACACCGCTGTCACAAAATCATGTGGTTTCTTTGCTCTATCTACATAAAGGCAACTATTGTACCAAAAATATTACGGTAAGTCTTATTTATATTTAGGCAAAAAAAAATATCTAGAGCCCATTATTTGGTAAAACACAAAAATAAAGTTTGTGTTCTACTATAATACACATGTAGCTTATACACAATTTATCAGTGGTAAAGACAAATATCTATATATATATCTATATATATATATATATATATCTATATATATATATCTATATCTATATATCTATATCTATATCTATATATCTATATCTATATCTATATCTATATCTATCTATCTATATCTATCTATATCTATATCTATCTATCTATATCTATCTATCTATCTATCTATCTATCTA